CACGGCCCTCTCACAATATATTGCTTTACAGATCTATCACTTTTGCCGCTCAGAAATGTTCACGCAATCATGCTGCACATATCAGAAGTTCAGCGCTCTGGCGCGGTTATCGCTCACACATGTGTACCGTGCCCGAGCCCAACTGGCCCACCTCTTCCTACCGAGCCAGGGATGGCTTAACGAACCGTGCCCGAGTGCGGCACGGAGTGATCACACTAGTCAAACAAACTTGGCTTTGGGAGTCAAACACGCTTGGGCACGGTTAAGATTGCCTAGTGTAAAAGTACACCCTTATTCTCCCGCATCCCATACACACGAGTCTCTACCCGCCCGCACTCGCCCATCAAGTGTTATCCCTCGCCGCACTCTGCTGCGTTGTGTCCCACGGGAGTCCAGGTCTCTACAAGGAAGGTGCCTGTTATAATGTTATGATAGAGGCTCTGGACTCTGAGCATAACTTCTTTTTCTATAACAAACTATAAAATATTTTCTATAAAAACGTCAATGCCCTGGCAGTAGCAAATAGCTTTGGTTTTATACTTAATTGCATTACATAAATATTATAAGTTGAGATTTACAATAACTATTTTAACTGCTACTATGTAAAAGGAATACTGCTGTAAAAAAGCACCTTATTTAGTTGTGTTTGCAAACCAAATGTTATTGCACTTTTGTTCATATAGCAGTAAGTTTAAATGAAAAAAGTGCACAATACACTACTTTTGAATTCATTATTGAATTTTGGGCATAACAATGCGATTAATCGCGGTTAATCGCAGAAAATCATGCGATTAAAAATTCTAATCGTTGCCCAGCACTAATAAGTAGACATTAAATTTAGTAAGACATATTTTATTCGACTCAACATCAAATTTATTACACATAAACGTTTAGGCTACAATGGTCATAAACGATGGAACATAAAAGAAGATCATTTGTAATTTGATAATTTCTCAGTATTTTTTGTTCATCTAATGAAAGTCACTGGTAACCAAAACAGCTTGGTTATAAACATTCTTCAAAATACCTTCTATGTAAGAAAGTAAGTCATTCAGGTTTGAAAAGACATGAGGGTGAGTAAATGATTTGGGATAGGGCCAACAGCTCTCTATGAATGGGCCTTTGAATAATTGGTTCACACGATTCGTTCAAAACAAGTATTCATTCAGAAACTAAGCACCGCTATTGCTCACAGACACATAGTTCTGCCGTGGCTTCATTGGTAGCCTAATATTTTCGTTGGCAAAATTGAGAAAAAAACACAATATTGTTTTTAAAATATAGCGCAATATTAACTACTTATTTACTGAACTGTTGTATAAAATAGCATTTGCGCACTTGCTATTTGTGACAAAAACAGCACTTGTCTGATATTGCTCTCACTGCTCGTGTGAAATCGCTCGTGTGAAAAATTCATACAGCGGCATTTTTGCCCCAATATCTGAAATTTTAGGGCATAACTGCATTTATGGAGTTGTTGCCCTGCATCATATTTGTCAACAGTCAACTGTAGGAAATGTAACATGATGTAGAGGTCTAGGGGCGGGGACAGTGCGTTAACATGTTTTAATTGCGTTATTTTTTCATTACTAATTAATTAACACGTTAAATATATATATATATATATATATATATATATATATATATATACTAACATCTCCCAGTTTGCATAGTCAAATGCTTATACATGGATTTACACATGAATGGTTAGTTAATATATTAAATCTTACTTTTTTTATTATAGAAATTACCTAAGCTATATATAAGACTATATAGTGTCCTTAATAGTATAAATAAATAAAAATTGAGCAACATATTAAACATACAGGCAGTGCTATGGCTACATACAAACGGTCTACAAATAATACATAAATAAGGCTATCAGACAATGTGGCTTTTCTAAGTTTGGATGCGACATGAGAATGTTCATATAAAAAATAACCATGCACAGGCCTGATTAATGCAACCGCATTCTGTTTTACATAACACGCAGAGTAAATATTCAGTTTTATATATATATATATATATATATATAAAGTGAGGCATGGTTAATTCTGGGTAATTCTGTGTTTGTTTGTTTTTCAAAAACGTCTAAATGCATTGATAAATGATGCTGCGTGGATGAGACACATATAAAAATCATGCCTACCTTGTATCTCATATTTTTCGGATGCTTTATTCTTGGTTAGTTCAATCAGTTTCCTCCAGTGCCCGGTCTTGACATTTTATTTAATGCATAGGCCTACAGATAAGCTATATTGTATACTAAAAAGCTATTTTGTATAATCCTGTAGTATAATAACCTAAATCACAAATAAGACTTTTCCCTTTTCCCTTCCGAAAAGATGCTCTACGACTTGACATCTATGTATAGATGATCATTACGCGCTGATGCATGTTGGTAGACCGCCATGTTCATATACTGCATAATAGCGGCTGCGTTGATTGTTCAATCGGATGTCTCGAGCAGAAGAAGGTTGTCGTACGGTTTGATCGCATGCGACTGCAGATGTGAATGCAGCAGATTCTGTAGCTCAGTCTTTGCCAATATCGCTGATAATATCTGAGCTTCTGACATCAAACAGGCGCAAATGCATACAGCATTATGTGGTTAAAAGAATCAGTTAAATGCAGAAAAAAAAAATTTACGCTCTTAGTGCCTTTAACATGAGATGAACGTTAACGTTGCACGTTCTCCGTCTTCAATCCGTGCGGTCAGGCACAAATGTAGCATTATTAATTGTTTTATTAAAATACTACATGTCCGTGTTAAATCGTGATTTGCTTACATGTTCATTTCGCTGCTGTGGTCGATATTGTCTCACGTTAAATTGAATGGAACCATCTTTAGTCAGTTGGTGTTCTTAAAGTTGAGGTCAGGTTCCATAGTGTAGCGGTTATCACGTCTGCTTTACACGCAGAAGGTCCTGGGTTCGAGCCCCAGTGGAACCATGGTTTTTAACAGGATGATGTTTTAGGACGCATATATAGTTTTACTTACATTTAGCAGACACCAACTGCTTTTATTTACTTTATCAGTTTATAGTTTCTTTATCAGTGTATCCTGCATTCAGTAATGATGTTAGGGCCATTAATGTCTGTATACCCACCTTATTCCAGTTGTTTTAGCTGTACAAACAGTGCATTAACTGTAAAAAGCTTATTTCCGTATTTAAAAATAAGGAGTATACTGTGTTTTCTACCAGGGGTCTGTGGGGCCTCTGAAGTTATTCCATAGGGGCTTTGAAGAAATAAAACATACAAAACTAATATCTACTAACCATTTTGACTAATGATCAGCGTATGTTACTCTTAAATGAAGTTATTATATATTAAAGGGTATGATTTTATTGTAGTCACCAGCAGAAAAATTATTACCGAAAAAGTGGAGATGCCGGGGATTGAACCCGGGACCTCATACATGCGAAGCATGCGCTCTACCACTGAGCTACATCCCCACGTGACAAACTGACTAGTAATTTTGGCTGAAAAAGCTTTAACTGCGGCGTTCTAGCACTTAGAGCCATGTACAGAATTTTACCGAGAAACCCGTTACATTAAAAACCTTTTACCGGTAGACAACTTAAAGTTTTCTGAAATTAACCCTGCTACACTTAAAAGTTACACATCAAAGCTGAAAGAAGAAACACTGCTAATGTTGAACATGAAAATACAAAGGGTTTCTTCTAAACGTGTGAACAGTGTTGGCAGCTGTCACAGTCAAGTGCACCAGATTCAAGACCAAATTACAATAACGCAAAATAAATAACGAAACCTGCTCACAGAATTTCCCCACCAGAACAGGACCCGATTGGTCTGAAACAGTTACTCCTGATCGGAAACAATTACAAAACAAAGTGTAAAATGCTGATTTCTAAATAGTCCTTTTCTGCGTATTGCTTTCTACTGCACTGCAAGAGCTGGCAGCGCCATCCAGCGGACACCCTTAGCATCTCAGCCAGCCTGAGCCAGGGTTCAAAATTAACATTCGCCAAGCAACAAAGGCAAGTAAAAGTCGGCTTGGCGAGTATATTCGTGGGTGCAAAAAAAGTACCCAAAAATTATACTCAAGTTAAAGTACAGATGCTCAGTGAACATTTTACTCAGTTAAAAGTACAAGTATCTGGCCAAAAACATACTTGAGTAAAAAATAAATAAATAAAAAGGTACAGCTTTGAAGTGTATTTAAAAAAGTAGAAATACCCTAGCAACAATCAATCAATTAATGAGAAACCGAGAGAGGAGATTCTTGTAATTACGTAAAAAGAAATAGCATAAAATGTTTTGTCAGTGGGGATACAAGATTTGGTTAAAAGGAGAAAACAAAACAAACCACAATGGCTGCATGTCAAAAACTTCTAGTGCATACAACAACAATTAAAATACCAGCCTTTAAAGGGAAACTCTATCCTTTACACCTTCATGCTATCTATGTATATGATTTTTATTCTTCAGATGAACTCTCTAACAAAGATTTTTTTGAAAAGTGAAAAGTGTACAGGACGTCCAAAGATGATGCTTCAAAAACGATAAAGTGAGCATGGCAGTAATTCATTACTATTTAAAACTTCACTGTCATGATCAGTTTGTGTGGTTTTTGAAGCAGGCCCATACACTTGAATTATGCACTAAAAATCTTTTTTTGTTTTTAATTTTTTTTTTTAAATTTGTAAAGAAAGAAAGTCATATACATCTGGGATGGCATCAGGTGCATAAATGGTGAAATAATTTTAATTTTTGGATGGAGTATCCCTTTAATGAGCCAGATGTGATGCAGCAGCCAGAAACATTCCAGACAGAATACAAGAATGTGTGTTGAATTAATGATGAGTGACATATAATTAAAACATACAATACTGACTTTTTGAAAAGCCACTTTTTGTGTTGTCTATTCTGTGCTCCAGTCTGTAACAATAGTGAATCTTTTAATTGTTTATTTGGGGGATTTAGTTTAGTTTTTAGTTTTTTAATTATGATGTTAAATTTTAATGTAATTATTTGTGATTAATTCATTAGATTAATTAATGAGCAGATTGTGTAATTATTTAGATTAAAATAATTCATTGACAATCCTAATTGTTACTAAATATATCATTATAATACCACCTATCCACTCCCTGTAAGAACATCAAGATGATTTGCAGTTAATTTAACATATAATGTTCATTTAAACACTTTTGGAGATTTATAACATTTAATTAAAAACACAATCATGGCCACCAAAATATTCTCATCACTGATTTTATTTGTACTCAATCTTGTGCATTTAGCCAATATAGATAGAAATTTCCCTGATGAAAGTTATAACTGAAGTTGAAATGCGTGTACTTAATGTGCAAAAACAGCATGCATGTATGAGATTGTTTACCATATTTAATGTGCATAAGATTGAACAAAATAAAATGTAAAATAAATATGTACTTTTAAAGTTTAAATACAATTTTAAGGAGTTAAAAGTGTTTTTTCTTTGAGTGACGTGACATGTGGCCAAGTATGGTTTCCCATACTAGGAATTAGTGCTCACAAAGCGCACACACACAGCAGTGAACACACACCTGGAGCAGTGGGCAGCCATTTATGCTGCGGCGCCTGGGGAGCAGTTGGGGGTTCGGTTCCTTGCTCAAGGGCACCTCAGTCATGGTATTGAAGGTGGGAGAAAGCACTGTACATCCACTCCCCCCATCTACAATTCCTGCTGGACCTGAGACTCGAATTCACAACCTTTGGGTTACAAGTCAGACTCACTAACCATTAGGCCACGACTTCCCTAATTTGAAATGTAATTAGTCAGTTTAAATTGTACTCGAGTAAAGTGTTATCAAAATTGTGAAAAAATAAATAAATTAAAAATTAAAATTGTCAATATTTACTCATCCTGTATTTAGTCATTTACTCACCCATGTTGTTCCATACTAGTATACTCATTGAAGTCAATGGCTACTAGCAACAGTTTGGTTACCAACATTCTTCAAAAATAACTTATTTTGTGTTCAACAGAAGAAAAAAATTAATGGTTTGGAACAATATGAGTGTGAGCAAATGATGACAGAATTGTCATTTTGGGGTGAACTATCCCTGTAACCCAGTTTATTGTTTATTGACTACTATAGTAGTAGTCATGCCAGTCATGGGTTTATCTCTTACAGTATAATATATATTACTATAGTAATACATATACTGTGTGTATATATATATATATATATATATATATATATATATATATATATATATATATATATATATATGTATGTAATGAATATACTATATTTTTGTTTGAAAATAAAGTGATTGACAAATTCCAATTTAAGTAGCTTTATTGGCATGGTAAAAAGGCCTCCAAAGCATAACTGGTGCTCTGATCCAATGGTGTTGAGCATTGTCAAATATACAGGCAACCACAGGCAGCCAATCAGGCAGTGAATGACAGTTATGTAAGAAGATATGGAACGGCTGATAATCACAGATAAGTCTCAGAGAAAATATATTGACTGACATCATTGGCGATTTCAGAATTATTTTTAATGGGGTGGCACGGTGACCAAGAGTAAGTCATATATATACCAAGTTCTAGATGGGCAGGCTGATGGGTCTTTAACGTAACTGATGATGTTCTTACCATTAAACGACTTGCCACAAGCTGATTGGTTCATGTTGCATAAGCAACCAATGAGCTTGCCTCACATTTAAATGGCTGATTAGCATTTGCTTGAGCATTGCAGCGTGCTTTCAGAGTTCCTCTGAAACCCTCCACCTTCCCCAGCTACACCTGTATAGATCTGCTACGGGTTTTTTATATGCTATTTGTGCAGCAGCAGTATGTCTTAAATACTCCCAGCACCATATCGGCTTATGTATTGGCAGTAGCAAGTTCCTGTACATGCTTGCATCAGCAGCAATAATCTACAAATACAGCAATATCCAACAGCAGCAGTGTAGCAGATCTATTCCGCCAAGACCAAATACATTAACATTGTCATATAACCATACAGAGCTTTAACAGGAAAGGTTCCACTCAGAACAGGCCTCTCCATGGTCGACCAAAGAAATTGAGTGCACGTGCTCAGCGTCATATCCAGAGGTTGTGTTTGGGAAATAGACGTATGAGTGCTGCCAGCATTGCTGCAGAGGTTGAAGGTGTGGGGAATCAGCCTGTCAGTACTCAGACCATACGCCGCACACTGCATCAAATTGGTCTGCATGGCTGTTGTTAATAAATAACAATTTGGTCCCTCGATATCTCTTTGCCACCGTGAAATCTTCTCAGTCTCTCCAAGTGTAAATAAATACGGCCGGGAAGTAAGAAAACACACATTCAAATGTATTCTCAAATACTTCAATTTATTCACAGAAATACAGATCTTATATAGGCATGTCGAGGGGAGTTTTCTTCAGATGGTGTCAAGCGTGTGTGGCGGCAACCAGGTGAGGAGTACAAAGACAAGTGTGTCTTGCCTACAGTCAAGCATGGTGGTGGGAGTGTCATGGTCTGGGGCTGCATGAGTGCTGCCGGCACTGGGGAGCTACAGTTCATTGAGGGAACCATGAATGCCAACATGTACTGTGACATACTGAAACAGAGCATAATCCCCTCCCTTCGGAGACTGGG